CTAAGATTGTAGGCACGAACCACCATTCCCAGCAGCAAAATATTTTTTAACTGTCAACTATCTTATTTAAAAAATATTTTCTCAGCTGGGTGCTAGTGGCTCGCACCTGTAATCTTAGTTAATCAGGAGGAACACGGTGTGAAGCCAGCCCCAGAAAATAGTTGAGGCTGGTAGAGTGGCTCAAGTTATAGAGTCTCTGTCTAGCAAGTGTAAAGCCCTGAGTTCAAACCCCACTACCACTCAAATAATTATAATAATGTCCCACCCAATTAATTGACTATAAGAATCCCACCATGTTGGCACCTCTGATGCTGTATGTTCACTTTTCTAATTTATGACACCAGGCAAGAGATTGAGCATAGTTTTCCATTTGAGAGTGGAGTTACAGTAGTGATGGAGAGTGTCTCCTCTTGGTTTTGCCAACTTCTGCAAACCCTGCAGCAGAAGTTTAGAGTTGAGATGGGGAATCTTGAGTCTTTTGGGATTTAACCTTTTACAGTGGGTGCAAATTAAAAATAAAACAACATATCAGTAAAAATCTAGACTCGTCCAAAACTTTCTTTACTCCCAGATAACTTGAATACATTTATGAATAAGTCCCTATTGCCATCATGTATTTAGCTTGAAGATAATTATTTATTATATATATTTTATTTATTTACTTACTCTCTTTTTTTGTTTCTTTTTTGTGGTCCTGGGATTTAACTCAGGGACTCATGCTTGCTAGGAAAGCATTCTTCCACTTGAGCTATGCCCTCAGCAATTATTATACATTCTTAACTCAAACTGTTCATCTTCTTTTCTTTACAAGATTGATGTTTGTGTGTCTTTGCTCCCTTACAATCTATAATAAGCTTTAATAAATACAGTGCAGTGTATACTCAGAGATAAATATATTCTATTTCTGGGCACTTGAATGGCAGCAACTTCCTCTTTTAAAACAAAGGAATTGACTTTTTCCAAAACATTCCATGGTGCCAATGCTACTGACCTCCCATTGTCCAGATTTTTTGCTCCTACGGTTGGGTGAGCCAAAACAATGAAGCATCTATGTAGACAACTAATGCTGATCAACATATCCCTATGAGTGCTTCCTTCCCACCTGTTAAGTAGAAAATGCCCTTGGGTGCACATCTGTTGTTTTTGCTGCTGTGCATTCTTCTTTCTTCTGTTAACCACATCCTGATCACTCTGGGGAGTCACCCTTACTCTAGAGATCTTACTCCCAGGTGTCAGGAGTGTACCTGGGTCTCAGATAGGACCATTTTGTGTGGTTCATCTGCTTGTCTGGATAGGTTACTCTGGTCATGTGATACAAAGTATCCAGTATGTCTGCTCCAGGCCATTTGCTAGTACAATTAGGAAAGACTGCTAAGCCTACTGGACATAAGTTTAAAACTGCTGAGGATAAAACCCAAGTACAGATAAAAGTGAAGACACACTTTTGATGAAATAACCAGAGAACATAGATCCAGTCAAGACTTTTTCCAGGGTTCCTGAGTCAGGTGAACCAAAAGTTGTCTTCTTTCCCTCTGTCTCTTTGAGCTGCATTTCTCTTCCTTGATGCTGAGTCAAGTCCTATTTGATGGCTAAAAAAGGTAATGAATCATAGATGTATTCTAGTTGGATCCAAAAGATCCCAAAGTGAATCAGAGATCAAAATGATTTCCTTACTCCTTTCTAGAAATAGACTTGACAGACATTATTAATCAATGTGGTGAGCTCTGAGTCCTGCAGGGGATTTCATTATTGTGCTTTAAGAAGTTGGAGTGGCATGTCAAATAGTATCATCTTAGTTATAGTCTTTTCTGGAACTAGGGAAAAAAGAGGCATGCCCTGAACATCAACAGATGCCTCAGGTAACTGCAAGTACACTAACTGGTTGACACACTGCAATCTCAGGAACTATGAAAGACCTTCACATATCCCCCCAAATCCTTCTCTGTGCACTCTAACTTGTGAAATTTTACTTATTTATTTATTCTTGAAACAGAGTTTTGCTACACAGCCCAGGCAGGCCTGGAACTCATGATCCTTCTGCTTCAGCTTCCTGAGTACAGAGATCATAGGCATGCACCACATGTCTGGCAGAAAAAAAGACCTGAAATTTTGTCAGGTCTTAACTTCTTTGTCTTTACATCTCAATGGATATTTGCAATATATGCATAAAGAATTTTTATTTCTATGGTAGGAAACCTAAGAAACAGTATAGTGTCTTTCTCTGGGGAAAAATTCTGGAGAAAATAGAAGGGTTGGCTTTTACTTTTCATTTTGTCATTTTCTTTAGGTAGGGCTTATTAAATAACTTTAAATATAATAAGTCCTAGCTTTGTACACATGGCTTTCTAGCTTTATGACATATAATTGACAATAATAAGAATAATTACAGCAGATAAGGTGATGCTTTTATACAAAGTATATATTGTAAAATGATCATCCAATTAACACATCTGTTACTTCACATAGTTTACCTTTTGTGCATGTATGCTGAGAACATTTAATATGTTCACTCTTAGCAAATTTCATGTATACGGTACTTGAAATAGTGTTAACTAATCAACAGTATTATTAACTATAGTTATCACTCAGTACATTAAATCTCCAGAGCTTGCTCATTTTATAGAACTGAAAATTTGAGACTCACATCTCTCCATTTTCTCACTTGAAGCCCATGGCAATCACTGTTCTGTTCTCTGTTTCTAAGAGTTTGACTTAAGATTCCCTTTATAAATAAGATCATACAGTATTTGTCTTTCTGTGCCTGGCTTACCTCACTTAGCAAAATGTCTCCCACATTCATCCATATTGTCACAAATGACAGAATTTCCTTCATTTTTTAAAGCTGAATACTATTTCTGCTAATGTGATATATCACCTTTATTGATTTGTGTAGTTGAAACATCCTTGCATCCCAGGGACAAATCTCATGTGATCATGGTGCATAATCCTCATAATATGGTGTTGAATTTGGTTTGTATACTTCTTTGAGGATTCTTGTATCTAGCTTTAACTGAAACATTGGCTTGTAATTTTTTTCTCCAGTGTTTTCAGTGGCCTTGGTATCGGGGTAATGCTAATCTCATAAAATGAATTTGAAAGTGTTCTTACCTCTTTCATTTTTGGAGAAGAAAAGTATATAATCCGTTTCCTTACTTGTACTTATCTTTGTATTAAAACAAATACCTTAGTATCTACATACATTTTATGTGCTCATTCAGTCATTCATTCACTCATTCATTCATTCTTCCTTTCTTTCAACAAGTATTTGCACTTCTACTTTGTACTGGGCTCTGTTCCAGGTTATAGGACATAGCCATGAGCCTGGCAGACACTCTGTGGGATCGTGAAGCTTACATTCCATTCTAGAGCTTTACTAAGAATGTCATCTGGATTGTCTCATTTTACTTTTACCACAATGCTGGAAGGATTGTGTTTTGTTTTGTTTGTTTTTTTGTTATGGGGATTGAATCCAGAGCCTTGTGCATGCTAACACATACTCTACCACTAAGCTACACTCTCAGCCCTGGAAGGATGGTTTTATTATACAAATGAAACAAAATGTAAATATAGAAGTGTTAAGTCCTTTGCCCCAGTCACATAGTGGTTAATTGGGGAAAATGGAATTTGAGTAGAGGCAGTCTGACTCTGGAACCCATAAGTGACATCAGGACAGATGAATGGCTTTCAGTGTCTGGAAGAAAAAGTTCAATTAATACCTGTTAAAGCATTAATGTATTTGAGAAAAGCAGTGTCTTAAATTGTTATTCAATCACTTTAGTTTCGTCAAAGGATATGAGAGTAGTTTTCTAGATCACAGAAAGTAATGAGTTATGGTGGTGGTGACTGGAGGAGACAAGGGAGAAGGAGGAAGAGGAGGAGAGTAGAAGCAGCCTTGCTGAAGGGGATGGTGATGTAAACAACACTGTCTTAGCACACTTTCACTGTCTGGTACTTTGGCCATTGACACTTAACACATTATGTTATTTCATCCTGTCCATAGCTCTGTCTGGCTCAAAGTCCATGCTCTTGCAGCTCACTTCCAACTCTGTCAATTTTGTCTAGTCTTATTTCTAAAATGAACCATTGTAACCAGCCCCAAAATGAAAAGATGAAGATTCAGAGGCATGAAGTGTCTAGTTGGCAGAGCCTATCTGAAGAACATCTGAGAAGAATAAAATATGCTTTTAGTACTTTAATATTACTTAGTGAAAACTTTTCTGGGTACAAGGTTGTGGTGATCACCAAATCTGAATTCAGACAGTTCTCAGTGATGCAAAGGGTTACATTTACTGCTTGTGATAGTAGCTCTTAGCTAGAGAAGATAATAGGTCCTCCCATGGACCAAGGCATCCTCTGGTTTAATATTGGATGTGAGTGTGTGTGAACAAAAGTATGTATGAGAGAGAAAGCATGTTTCTCTCTGTGTGTGCATGTGTGACTATGTGTATGTGACCTATATGATGTTTAAGGAAATTGCTCCTTAGGGAAGTATTAGTTTCCTCCTGGATTGAGAATTCTGTTGCCTAGCTGTCTTTTAGGACAGCAACACAAGGATTCAGACAACCTTTATTTAAGGTATTTTTTTCTGTCCCTAGAAAAATGAATCCATGATTATTTTAGAGTCATTTCCAAGCCATTCTTAAAAGCACCATAGGAATATTTATAATCCCAGGAGTCAGGAGGCTAACGTAGGAGCACTATGAGTCAAAAAAACCTAAAAGCCTACCTCTCCTTTATGATTGTTATCTTACATTTGCATATAAGACTACATGTGACCTCAACCTCACTTAGCTATTGATTCTATCCTTTATGTTAGAAAATTAATAAGGAGCATGTCCATAGCTATTATTTTTTTTGAACCATGTGTCAATTTATTGGCATCATTAAATTATGCATAGATAGTTATTTTTTCCCAAGGAAGTGAGATGATATCAATCTGCCATAACTTGCCCACAGTCTTCACCATGAAAATGTAGCACTTCGTGCATTAGTGGGGTTGATTATTTTTTTTTCACTACCACAATTTTTATGCTGCTACCAGAAGCCTTTTTGGCATTTGCTTTGAAGTCTGTCTTCGATGCATCCCTCACTGCCTTTGCACAGATCTGGGAGAAGCGGATGTAGCTGAGTCCTGACTGTTGCCAGTACTCCACCATGATGCCCCGAGTTCATGCCTCGAGTCGAATCGCAAGGATGCGACAATACATAGCTGTTATTTTAAGTGATATTTAGTCAGAGGTTTCCAGAGAAATAGAACCAATAGAATATATTATTATAGGAGGAGTTTTATTAGATTTGCTTACACAATCAGAGGCTGGATAGTCCCACAATGGCCATCTGCAGGATGGAGAGCCTGGGAACCCTGAGGCTGCTCAACCCAAGAAGCTGGAAACCTCAGAACAAGAGAGACCAATGATGTAGCTCCAATCTAAATCTGAAGGCCTGACAGCTCTCTGGAGAGGTGCTAGTACACGTCTATGTTCAAAGACTGAAAAATCTGGAGTCTGATATTCATGGGTAACAGACAAGCAAAACCAATCAACCGAACAAACAACCAGACAACTAACCAACCAACCAAACAAAAAACTACATCTGCTGTGCTGGCTCAAGAAGGGTCAAGAAGCATGGGAAGCCAGGTACCTGTGGCTCACACCTGTAATCCTAGCTACTCAGACGGCAGGGATCAACAAGATCATGGTTTGAAGCAGCTTGGGCAAATTGGTTGCGAGACCCTATCTTGATAAAACCCAACTCAAAAAAGGGCTGGTGGAGTAGCTTAAGGTGTAGGTCCTGAGTTCAAGCCCCAGCACCTAAAAAAAAAAAAGTGGGGACCTCTTTTTCTGCTATATCATTCTTTTTAGGCCTCCAGCCTATCTATGGGATGGCATGGTCCATGTGCAGGGTGAGCCTTCCCTACTGAATTCACTGACCAACCTGCCAATCTTCTCAGGAAATACCCTTACAGTCATATCCAGAAGTACTCTTTACCAATTTTCTAGGCATCTCTTGGTACAGTCAAGTTGACAGTCAAGACAAACCATCACAAGTGGGCTCCCACGGAGCATGAATTTTCATGGATTTTAGCAGAAAGTACCCAACCTTTAGTCTAAACCACAAATTATAGCCCTGTATTAGGCATCTACTACTATATACCTAATTATACCCCTCCCCAAAATTAGAGACTTAAGATGTTTAACATTTCTTATGCCAAATCTCTACATGAGGAATCCAGGAGTAGTTTACCTGAATGGTGTGGGTTCTGATGAGGCTGCAGTTGAAGTATTGATGTAGGCTGCAGTGATCTTGAAGATCAGTTGGTTGAAGGATCTCTTTCTAAGCTCACTCCTCTGGCTAATGAGAGGTCTTAGATGATCTGCTTTCAAGTTCACGCCATGCACAGGGGCTTCTCCCTAGAGCTGCCTTACAAAGGGCACCAAGTGATCCAAAAGAGAGCAAGGGTAAGCCCCCAAGACAGAAATGATAGACACTTTATAACCTGCTCTTGGAAGTAATATTTCATTACTTCTGCCATAGTCTACTAATTAGAAGTGAGTCACTAGGTCCAGCCCACACTCAAGAGAGAGGTTGCACAGGATTGAGTTCCAGGAGGGACCAGTGGGGGCCATCTTTGAGGCTGCCTGCTCTTCTCAGAAACTTGCCTGTCTGTGCCTGTATTTGGTCATTAAATGCACACAGGTGTTTATTGCATTTGATTAAATAGTTGGTGAGCTTGAAAGAATGGTGTTAAGTAATGGTAAGTCAGAGCTAAATTTTGTCTATATTAAACATAAAAAATAAACAATGAGAGGTGCAGATGAGAGGCACAAGCAGATACTTGATTCTGATAACATCAAAGATCAGTGAACCACACTGGTTGTTGGGAGCACATGCCTGTAATCTCAGCACTCTGGGGGCTGAGGCAGAAGGACTGCAAATTTGAGGCCAACCTGGACTACTTAGTGAATTCAGGGCCAGCTTGAGCTACAGGACAAGACCCTGTGTCAAAAATAAACAAAACCCATAAAACAAAAAAGAAGGAAAAGAACTGGAGGTGGAACTCAAGTGGTAGAGTGTCTACTTTGCAAGCGCAAAGACATGACTTCAAACTTCGGGCCCACAAAAAAAATTATCAAAAATGAAAGAAAAGATCATTTAATTGCATTGAGCCAGTGTAATTAAATCAGCATTTATCAGGACCTATTAGATATAATAAAGCCTCTGCTCTGTCTGAAGTCCTTTTCTCTTTTGATACAAAAAAACACATCTGTCTAATTAGTGATGCTGCTGTGTGACTGATGTTCTGGGGTTAAGTGCTCTTTTAGGGAATGATTGAGATAAGTGATTGAGTCAGGTAAAATGGTAAACTTTCTTTTTAATGTAAATAAAGGAGTTTGACCTAGGTCTTACAGGCAGTGAGTGATCACTGCAGACTTTTGAGCAAGGTGGCTATTGACATGATGATGGAAGTGTTGCTTCAGAAATGTTAGTCTGAGGAAAGGGAAGAATTGCTATGGGGATGAGTGTAGCATTCTTGCTCAGTGGATAGAGATACAACCTTAAAAATGTAGAGGAAGGCTGTATCATGAAGGAAAGTTATGGAAGTTTTTAAGTTGGGCTAATCTTGGACCATTAAGATCAATGAAGAGGACTTTACGTGAATCTAGGCATAATGAAGGGATGAGGATCTGGGTTCATTTTGCATAGTCTAGGATTGAATTAAAAATGATTAGTGGCTGAGTGGGACCAACGAATACTTCAAACCTGGGAGATATTGTACTTAGATATCTGGCATCAAATTGACTAACATATAAACAATAATGCACATCCATAAATTCTATACTATGATGCATAATAGTGTTTGAAACTGATAGTCTTTTCTTCTACCATTAGAAAGTCTCCTCTGGAAAATACTCTTGGAAGTTAGATTTATCATGGAAATGGCACTGTATAACTAGATTTTTCTCCCTTTGATTAACAGACTTCCCTAACTTAGTTAGAACCTATTGGCCTTAAGTTGCTTTTTTTTTTTTTTTTTTTTGGCAGTACTGGGGTTTGAACTCAGGGCCTTCAGCTTGCAAGGCAGGGGCTCTACCACTTGAGCCACTCTACCAGCCCCCTATTGGCCTTAAGATATGAGCAATGTATATAATTTAGTTATACTCCAGAAACTGGAATTTATGTGCAAATATTTGTAATACAAGATCAAGATGGATTTATAGTGATAGAATTTGGAAAAAGTACTCCATTACCTGTGCTTGGGAAACCAGTTCTTACTCTCTATGAGAACCATTAATAGAAGTTTCCATGGCTGTCTTTCTCAGCCTATGTTGTTCCTACTACACTGGAGCCACAGGCAGAAGTGCTCAGACAAGGCCAACATAGCTTCTCTATGACTTTTTTCCTCAGGTTTTCTTCATCTTCCCTGGAGCACTGAGAGCTGACATTCCCTACTCTTTCCTGGGAAGGGAACAACTCATTCTCTGACTCTGCTTTTGAGTTTGAGTGGCTGGGCTGAGGCACCAAAGACAATTTTATCTGTGTACACCTTGTGAGTTTGTAAGCACCAATTTGTTTAGAACAGTGGTTCTCCAGGTGTCTTCTCTAGATCATTGGCACTATCTGAGAACTTGTTAGAAATGTAAATTCTTGTCCCCAAACCAGACCAGCTGAGTCAGAAACTCTAGGGGTACTTCAACAAACTTTCCTGGTAATTTTAATGACAGCTAGTTTGAAAATCACTAAATAAGTTAGAGGAAAATCCTTGTTTTTAGTTCTATCTCTGAAGTTAGAATTTAGTCTTTAACCAGATTTGTGGATTTCTTCATTTGTTATGGCAAGAAATAAAGCAATACAATCATCATCAAGGAGTCAATTACAAGCAACATCAAAGAGGGCTACCAATGGATAATTGGATATAATGATAATTGAGCTCACTGGGAATTCCTGCTCAAAGCTCACTGGGGATATTTCCAACACAGAATGTTGTTCACCATACGGGAATATTCTGCACTCGAAAAACGATGTGTGGTTGATAAGCAATAATGCCTTTACTTACCAACAAACACAATCTGTGGATTCTAAAGTTGGCAGAGCTCAGCTGTTTCAGGCCATCCTTGCATTCTTAGGAAACCGTGAGCTGTGTGGTTAGGATTAGGATGGGGAGGCCTGGCATAAAGCCCAAGCCCCCAACTCCCTCATGCTGATTGCATCTCCCTTTCCCCTTCCTGTGTCTTAGGCCTTTTGAGAACAGGCTGTTTAAAATGAGGTATTGGCTGAATCCAAACGGAGAGAGAAGTGTCTTATCTCTTTCTCCAAAAAAAATGTTATTGAGGCAGAATTTCCTAGGATCTAAGCTCTTCTTTGACTGCAAATATACCTTTGGAAGAATACAGCAGGGTCTCCAGGCACAGGAAGTAAACCAGCTGGGTGTACTTTCTACAACAGATTTCCACTGCATCTGAAAATCATACTTTTGTAAATCAAATCACATTTAAAATTCAGCAGAGAAATTGTCAGTTTAAAAGAAACTTCCTGGCAGATCTTTTGCCAGGAATATAATTATTTTATTTGTTTCTTACTAAAAATATTTCTGTATGCAATAAAACTTCAAGTAAGCAGAATTTCAAGAAATTGGGAGATTCTTTTTACTTACTCCTTTCTTTCTTTCTTGGTTGATGAAGAATTAATTGAAAAAATTCCTGTCTTCAACTTTTGTTGAAAATCTTTCTAAGATACTTAAGGTTGACTTTTTAAAACTAGTGAGCAGTAGAAATAATCAAGTCTTTCTTGGTCATTAATGATTTTATAGCATGTTTATAGTAACTAGATAGTTGTAGAGGATGAGGTTAAAATTGTGCTGAACCTATAAGGGTATATTAGAAATAAAATTGTAGCTTTATTGATTTTCAATTGGCATCTTATATAAATATTCAGCAGAGAAGAGCAGTCTTTTACTTAGAAACTTTTGCTGGTTTGATCCTGGTTGAATTTAACAGGCTTACCTAATGAGAAAATATCTATATTTAGAAACACTAATAAATAGAAAGTGAACGAGTTGAGACATCTTTAACACAAAATCATATTTGCAACTGGTTAAAAAAAAGTTTTTAAGCTAGGTAGTTTTTGTTTTGATATTTTATTGTTGTAGCTTTGTTGG